ACTAATTCCCCACAATAATTCCAATGACTTTTTTACCCTTAACAATATCAATAATGCCATGACCCAATATCATAAATTACTTGTTTACCACTTACAAGTTCTGAATATCTAAAATAAATTTTGAAAATTTTAATTTTAATTTTAATAAAAAATAAATCCAATGATAAATTTTTTTAAAAAAATCACCAATAGTTAATTTTTTTAAAAAAATTTAGATGAAAAGTATTTTTAAATATACTCAAATGATGAAATTTTTCATTAAATGAAACGTTTAAGTGTATATTTCATTTTTTTACCTTACGTTCATTTTATTAAAATAATTTTTTTTGGAAATTTAAATAAATAAATCAATAAAATAGAAAAAATATAAATATCTTTAAAAATTAAATATTTAAATAAATTATTTTATCTGTAATGAAACGCAAGTAAAATTTCTATTAATGGTACAATTCAATCATTAAAAACGACTGATAAGTTTGATTTCTAAAAAAAATTTGAAAAGATTAAATGACTGATCATTTTGTTCATATGATGATGTGTACTAACATATATATAGAGGATATAAGTCAAAATAAGTAACAAAATTTATCATAGAAATAAGATATGTTAATATTCGGCAGGCCTTGAACATTCTTTATTTTTGCAAGTCACTCTGATCCTCTATCAATCTCTTAACAACCTTCTAGCAACCATCCTGTCACTGCCTCCCAAAATATCATCAACACATATAAACAAAATTTATTTATATAATCTAAACTGAAGTACAAATCTTACGAGCAGATTAAACTAATGATGACAATCAATTATCTTTCACAACAAGTTATCATACATTTTTATCAAACTCAACATTTGTTTCTTTGTTTTTTCCCTTTAGGCTCTTAAGGTTTCCTTTTTGTTGAAAGCAAAGAAATATGTAAATCAAACATTTTTATCAAACTCTTATCTTTTGCTATCAAAATCAGGCAAGACCACAATACAAATATAAATAAATAAAATTAATTACAAAGTAAAAGGAAGAACCAACAAAGATTAAATGTCCTTTAAAAGTTAAAAATCACGAGAAAGAAAAAAGAAAAAAGGGTATCAATCGGATCAGACCCTGTGTGCTATCTGTGGAATGCTCATTGGTTGCTCCCAATTTTCGGTCTGCAAGCTTCTCCTTTAATAACGGAGAATTGCAAATAAAGAAAATGAAACTAACATATGTATAATTTGCACCGTCACCTTAAGTAATTGGAATAATGGATAAAAATATTTCATATTTACATCATGATATAAACAATTATTTGATAAGATGTTTTTATAAAAAGATATTGCAATTATTGTCTTGTTTTTGAAAGATATGCAATATCTATTTATCCTTCTATTCTAACTTTTTTATTTTTACTTTTTCAAAAGATATAAAAATTTTCTTTTAAAATTTATATCTGTGACGCTTTCAATCCCACATTGAAAAAATATGTAAATATATTATGATATATATGTAGAGATCTTAAACCCCAAAGCTATGAGGTGTTTTTGTGGGATAAAACCATGAAATTTTCGGGTTAAAAGTAATAATATCTCGTAGGTTGAATGTGGATTCTTTACAAACGGTATTTGGCAGTCACCAGTTAACGGGAACTAAGCGCTACATCATGAAAATCACTAAGTATTACATGATGGGCCATGAGAGTTACTAAATGCTATATAGTAAGAAGTCACATCTAATATCCAATGTTTTGTATGATCTTGGTCCTACGTTAGACTTAGCTTGACTGAAACGTTAAACTCTAAAAATAGAAAGAATGTGATGCCCTCAATCCGACATTGGAAGAATGTGTGGATATAATATGATATATATGTAGAGATTTAAACCAAAACTAGTGAGGTATCTTTTGTGGGACAAATCATAAGATCTTCAGGTCAAAGTGGACAATACATCATACGTTGAGTGTGGGTCTCCACAATTTCTTAAAAAAGAGAAAGAATGAAAGAAAAATGTCGTCATTAAAGTATGTGGGACTACCCTCTAACAAAAATTTGGCCATGTCTTTTGTTAAATTTGATCTTTGCAGATTAGATGAAATATTAAATAATAACTAAACTTCATTTCTAACATGCTTGATTTTGATTATTCCAATAGTTAGAGCTCTATAGCTGGCCATTACTGCTATTACCTGTTGGCCATACTTTTTTTCTGTCATAAAAAATTTGATAAGATTAAAAGAGAAAAAATGAAAGCTTAAAAAAAAAAGAAATTAATAAGGGAAAAAATCATTAGCTAAAACAATTTAGATAATAAGAGAGTGGAAAAAAATTGGACTATGTGGTTTAATTAGACCTAATCCACGAATCCAATCTAATATGCATTCGACTTAAATAAGTCTTATTCTGTCCAATTTCTTTGTCAAGCTTAAATACCAAAGTCTAAAGCCAAAATAATGGTGTTTTTTTTTATGAATTTTGTGAGGTAACATTTTTTCTTCTTTGTACATTCATTTAATGTAATAATTATTATACCATATTGCTTGCCCTAATCGACATTATTACTACTACTACTACTACTACTAACTACTACTACTACTACTACTCTACTACTACTACTAGTACTACTATCTCTT